AATTAGTAACATTAAATGACACTTTAACAGTACATAATTAAATTACTCTTTTATTTATTTATTTTTATAGAACATTATTGAAGCACTTCTTGATTGTGATACAATTTTCTACAGAAAATATATATATATATATATATATATATATATATTTTTTTTTTTCATAAGTTGAAATTAGATAGTGTCAATAGCATTAATTCACCTTATATAGATAATCTATCAGTATGTGTGATCTTGTTAAGAACTCCAACTTTCTTCACCGCATTACCAAATCTAACACCAACCAAAAATTTCTTAAGAAATGATACAAATTTTGGTCTTCCCTAACTCTAACCAAAATGCAATTTGATGATTCTCATTAATTTTTGTTTTCAATGAACAGGAGAAATATTTAGACAGTCTTTCAGGACTATTGGTCCAAACTAATCACCATTTAAAAAAAGAAAAAGAAAAAGAAGAAAACTGAATAAATGTTTTATGTTCTTGATACAATTATTTATGTATTTAATATATACCATGTAATAAAATTTTTAGATGGTCTTAATTCGTTTAATACGTGATTAACTATTTTAATTAAACCTCAAATTGAAACTTTTTTATAATATATTTTCTTACTGTTTAATAATTTTTGGGAATAAAGTGAAATGAAACAGTGGACCAAATCCAACAACTCCCCGTACACATGGCACAATACTAGTCAGTCCAGCAGTCTCCGCTTGGCACACGGAGACATGGTCTAGTCCCAAGGCGGTCCGTCAACCGAATCAACAAAGGATTTATCCGTTCCAATACAAAAAGTTGGAACTATAAAAAAGAAAAAGAAAAAAAAGAGAATTTTAAATACTAAAAACAAAGTGGGTTTTGAAAAGTGTCTTAGCTCGAATAGCGACACGTGGCTGTTTTAATATTCTAATTTTATGGTTAACTTGTGGATAGTTTTATTCAAAGCGCGTGGGCCTCTATTCTTGATCTTTCTGGGCCACCGCGTCGTGCCAAGTTTCATTACAGTTACAGAGTTTTTCACCGACTCTTGTCATATTAGTCTCATTGGGCCCACAAGAACCGACCACTCCTAAAACCCCGTACTTTTTGTAAAAATAAATTTTAAAATAAGGTGGCACGTGACTTGTCTTGGAGATGGCACGTGGAAAACTTCAAGGACAAGCAATATGATAATATGTGGGCCCACCTAACGTCATACTAATTTACTCTTCTCATCCTAAAAATAGTGTCGCTTAAACTACCAATAACAATTAGTTTCAACCACCATTCAGTACCAATATAAAACTGCAACGTAAAAAAAAATAACTTAATTGAACCTTGACTCAAGGTTCAAAAAGGATAAAAAATAAAAATAAAAATAAAAATAAAGTTTACATCGACTTTCTCTAAAATGAGATTTGTCCACCGAACAAATGATCACTTGTAAGACCTATCGTTTTTGGAATTTAGTGACGAATGAATGAGATTAAATTTTTCTGACCATCCACATCTTAGTAACAATGCTTTTTAATTGTGGATACCATTTTAAAGCCCACATAATGATTAAAAATTTAATCAAAAATTTATTAGTCATAAATTCCGATAACATTTAGATCATGTGCGGATATAGATAGAGAATCCTCCATCATGGATTAAAATCATCTCTGGTAATTTTTTTTCTCAATTTAATGAGCGGAGTTTATCACTATCAATTGCTAATTACGTTGAATTTGCACCAACGAAATTATAAATTTCATACACCATATAAGGATACGATAGAATTTTTATTTTTAGATAACCAATGGAGTTCTTCCGGTCTATCCTATTTATTGGTGCTGATAATTGTTATTGGAAATTGGTTTAATGAAAACTTAAACAAGAAAAATTTCATATGATTATGGTAGCAAAATTCATCATTTATAGTGATGAACTTCATTCACCAAATGAAATCGCAAATATATATATATATATATATATCAGAGAGGATTTTGATGAACTTCATTCACCAAATGAAATTGCAAATATATATATATATATATATATATATATATATATATCAGAGAGGATTTTGATTCATCAGGATTTAGCTCTCTCAAAATCCAATTAAGAATGTACGTTATTCTGATAACTGAATTTATCAAATATGAACAAGAAAATAAAATAAAGAGAAAAAAATAATAATAAAGAATGAAAAAAACCAATTGAGTGAAGAAAATTCAATTAAATTTGCTGCGTCGGTAGGTTTCGTCATATCCCTTTTTGTTTTGAGATTATGATCTTATTGTAGTGTGGTCCATAGTGAAACCATTGGGATATTGATTCCAATCTCTTAAAGCGTTTCTCTTTTTTGATTAGATGCGTATCTATCTTCTTCTTCTTTATTTTTATTTTTTATTTATTTTTTGACACCTATTTGGTCCAAAAAAATAATAATTCTACCATCATTTATGTATTCGCAATGTAACATAGATATATACCCATATATGTATTTCTTTCAAATTTTCCATGCAAATTATTCTTCTTCTTCTTTTATTTATTTTTTCCATTTTAACTTCGGTCCACCTTTATTAATGACAGCCAATGAATGAAATTTATATTCTAATACTCTTTCCATCTTATAATAAGTGTTATGTATTGAGAATCGTGACTCACACATAATATATAAGCAATATGCATATAACTACATATATATATATATACTACATAAGTAAAGTAATAATGGAATTATAATCTATATCCTAGAAGAAAATAATTAAAAAATAAGAAAAATTAAAATAACTAAAAAAATCCAAATATATGCATGATAAACTATAGGGTAAAGTACCAAAAAAATTTCCCTAAATTATGTTTGAATTTGCAATAACCCATCTGAATTATATTTTGCGCATGATACTCCTAAACTAACACATTTTGTTCTAAAATATCTCAATACTTATACCATATTTCATTAAAAGACCATAATGCCCCATCTTATTGAATTACACTTAATCTATTTTTCTTATTAAAATAAATTATAAATAAATTCATACTAATTTGATAATATATTTTCCATTAAATTTACATAAATTTACCTTTAATTTTTGAAATTAATTGTTTAAATAAAATATTTTTAAAAAAATATAATTAAATTTTTAATTTTTCATGAATATATTACACGAAAAAGGAGGTTTTTTAATTTAGCTAATTTATTAAATTTTCATCAATATATTTTTCTACGGTAAAAAAGTTTAAATTGGCTATAATAATTTTTTTTATAAATAATAAAATTTTAATAATAAGTTAATCATTTTAAAAATTGTAGTTACAAATCTATATTTTTTTCCAATTTTATGATAAATTAATATTAATAATAAAATTAAGGTAAATAGTATAATTAATATCGAGAAAAGATAATAAAAATAATTTAGTAAAAAATAAAATTTTAATGAGTGAGGGTAAAATAGTCTTTTATGATGAATTTGTCCTTAATTGCAACACATTAATAGTTTAGGAAGGTTATATGCAAAAATGCAATAGTTTAAGAGGATTTTTTTCGGTTTACCCTAAACTACATTATGTAGAGAATATTTTTTAATTAATTTGGTTTGATTATTATTAGATCAGATTAACCATAAATATATTTGATTTGTTAATTAGATAGACTATTAGAATTTAATTATTAAAAAAATATCATATTAAATATTTAATTTATATTCGAATTATTGAATCAATTTCGAAATCAATATCCAATACATTGTCAATATAAACCAGGCAACGGGGTTTGGCTGACTGGGCAAACCTAAGAAAAAAAAGTGTATTAAGAGTAAAATATGCGGGAAGATAGCATGAGAACGGTTGCAGAAATTGGGTGGGCGGTGATGTGCCACTTTCTTGTGATTCGGATATGGGAGAGGAGAAGATAATGTTTCTTTGTATATAAAATAGACAGACTCGAAAGAATAAACAATTTTGACGGTGACTAAAGATTTTCTTCTAGAAACACAAAATAAACAAACCACCGACGTGTTTGGTTTTCAATGTCTTTAGTAAACTGGTATTGCCATCAAAGACCGTTATTCTTCCACTTTTCCCGTGCAATATTTAATTGAAACAGATTAACCAGCTTTCATAGAATACACGCTCTAGATTCCGGCCCAAAGGCTTTTTTAATTTTAAAAACCTAAAGCATAAGGATCCAACTTGGACAGGCCAATCCAACCCAAAATTTTATTCCATTTTCAACCTGAGTAAAATTATTAAGAACAAAGTGGGCTTGGAGTTGAGAGCTCGGAATTTTTTTTTTTTTTTTTCCATATTGACTTTGATAGGGAAGTGAATAAGTATATATGAATTGAATGTTAATCTCACTTAACAATTTAAATTTTTAGATGGAATCCTGAAACACTTGACCCATTACACTAGGTAATGCCCAAGAGCTTGAATTGAAGATCAGACCGGGTTGGTTTGAGTTGAAGGTTGTGCATACTTTAGGCCGAGCTTGGTTAACTTTTCCCAAGCTACACCGCTAGATAATTATTAGTGAATAATGTGTTTAGATTGTGTGGCTATTGCTAACTAACATGTCCTTGGAAGAGGTTTCTTGTTTGGAAAATGATGACCCCACTTACATGTAGTCAATGGCTTTAAACTAACAAAATTCCACTAGCATGTAATCAATGACTCTAAAGTGATGGGCCTAACAAATCAGTCAGATTTGTAGGCCTTGAGTATCATGGCTCCCTTTTTTTTATTTTATTTTTTATTTTTTATTATTATTTTTATCACTGTTTTCTATCGACAACAATAATCATTATACAAACTATTCTTGAGAATTTATGCATTCAATTCAATTCGATTTTATTTTCTTTTTCTTGAGACAACGTTTTGTTCCTTTCACATTATGAATTAAAGGGCTTAAGGCCCTTCCAGAAAAGTAGTTCTATCCGAGAGAGAGAGAGAGAGAGAGAGAGAGAAAAACACACACAGCGCGCAACAACTCTCAGTGGCTAGGACATTCATGTAACCCCAACACCTTAAAAAAATGGAGCAAAGAATAGTAAACTTACTTTTGTTATCATAATAAATCCAATAAATAAGAAAATTTACATCATAATAACTTTTTCTTTTATTTTTTTCAACTTCCATACCCTAGTTATTCATCTAGCTCGTGTGAACTTACAGCAGATATATACTTTCCCATAACAAGGATTTACTTGTTGCTTTCATTTGAAGCTCCCAGCGCCGACTGGACAACAGAAAACATAAAAAAAGCCAATTAAAGTAGACTGAAATCAGGTATTCAAGAGAGAAAAACCTAATAAATAACTCAAACAACACATGTTTGTTCTACTTAATATAGTGTTATGATTTTTTTTTTTTTCTTCATAAATCGTTAAGATTTCTCAATATCTGAATCTGTATATTACCTTTGAAAAATGTGGGTATGTTTAGATTGACAGAGTTGCAAGGACAAAACAAAGCAGGTTTATTTCATGTTCGGTTTAAGATTAAGGAGGCAAAGAAAGTGAAATGAGGAACGATGGGTTTGCCAACTCATTGAACAGTATTCTTAATTTTTAAAGGATAAGAGAGTTGGTACTGTTTTCACCATTTTTTTTAATAACAAGTGAATTATTCTCTCTCTGTTTGCTCGCATAATAAGATGTTCATTTCCTTCTATTTTCCCTCTATACTATCTTTTCCAATCAAGATGAAGGAATATCACTATTATTTTCTTTCTTCTTTTTCATCCTTAGTTAACCAAAGAAGGGGAGGGATTAACACTAGCCTTTTATTTCTTTACTCTCCTGACTAGTGTGATCCTTTAATTTTTCCCTATAGTTTTACTTTAGCATACCAAGAAAAGACGTCAAAGAAAGTCACCGAAGGAAGAAACTTACCATATTAAGAAGCCGGAGAGCAGCAGACCGAGTGAACTTTCTTGCAAAAAGGAAGCATGGGGAGGGCTTCCCCTTGCTAGTGCACCATTCTCTTCGGTACTCAGTCTCATAATAGATATTATCTATATCCTGCAAAAAAACTCATCAAATTTGTTTAATGTGAATACGCCATTTCTCAATTGAACTGATTAACTTGTGCTCGTTGATGGTAATTAAGGAATAACCGTAATAAGTTTTCCATATTTTTAAGTTTCTACTTCAGTAGCTAGAACAAGTGCTGAAGAGGGGAAAATACCAACTTTTGACAGTTTACTTGAAAGTTGGAAACCTAAAGAAAAGAGACAGTTCAAATGAAAGCTAAATTTTCCACAACAAAATCACTTCGTGTAAGGTTCACTCAAACATCATCAGGTAAGTTTGATGGGTGTTGAAAGTTCTAGTTCATTTGAGGAAGAAGGGGGCATTTTAGGCTCCATTGGTCCAGTGAAATGGAATTGTAGAACAGGATATTATTTTGATGACAACTGGAGACATATAAATAACAATTGAAATATTGTTGTGCGCTATTAGATGAAACTTGGAAGACACAGTAAGTATTAATTCCAAGAGGCATCTCCCAAAAATAAGAACAATAAATAATAATAAAAAATAGTCTATTTCTTTCATTTTGGATAATTATAGAAACTTTTAAGGAATGCCGTTTATTGCTGTTTCTTTTTTGGCTGCATCCAGTCTTATAAATGGGAAAAGAAGTTATACACGCTGTGGAAACAGCCAAGACAGCTGTGGAAGTAGTCACTCCAATTTCTTAACCAAGTATAACCTGAACAATGATAATTCAGTTTATTCTCTCTCAAGCTTCAAATTTTCACAGGATACTTCCAGCTAAATACTAAATGCAGCCTAAAAGAAAAATGAGAGTGAGTGGCCAAACATGAAAGTATTGTCACTAGATCGATGTGCCTTGTCTGTCCAGAGCAGCAATCACATACCTTTATAGATTGGATGAGCATGGGAGTAGCATCTGCTAACTTGTAAGTCATAGGATGCCATCCTCGTCTTTCACGGTCTTTGGAAGATGAAAGATCCCAGGAAGTATGCGTTAGTGTCCTTCGTGTGATTTCTCCCTCAAGGCCTTCTTGCTGAAGTTAGAAAAATAAAGGATTATGAAAACTAAGTAAAACTGAAAATATTATAATAGAACCAAAATTACAGTCTTCAATGGTTGGAATTTAAGTGGAAATCAACTTCCGGAAAAAAAAATACATCGATATCACACATCCTTGGATCGCCGCTGAATGGATAGCTTATTTTGTTCTTAAGACTGTTATTTTTTATTGAATCATATTTCCTTTTAAGAATGACTTCTGAAATTCTCTGGCTTTAGCACGTGGTTTGAGATTACAAGACGATCAGGCAACTGGGCGTGACTGGAGAGGCAATATTCCAAATGGAAAAAGATGTTAAACAATACAAATCCTGAACAGCAAATAATCTACCAAGCCCATGGCATTAGAAAACTGTATAATATAAACTCCAGACAAAATTATTTCAACACTCAGATACCAAAAGCAAAAGTCATCAGAATAATTTGTGCATTATATGTTGCAATTTACATATTTAAAATATTAAATCAAATTAACTGAACCAGAGCAAAATGTCTGACCAGTCACTGGGAGTTTGGGAATATGGTGTCGGAATAACATAGAAATGCTATATATTAAAATAGAAAAGAAAAATATGTTTGCTCTGAGAGTACAATGTTGTCTTGAAGCTCATTCTGTGAGAAATTGGAAGAGTCTAGGCCTTTTGGGGGGCAATAGGAATTCCTTGTTTCTTAACAAAGCTTAGATAGATGAATGAAAGATCAACTTACGGCCAGTAACGTCTGAACATAATGCTCATCCGGTATACAGTTATGCTCCTTCCATCCTTCAGCAGGCTGCACAAGATTATGAATCTATAATGATAAAAAGTAGAAACCTCAACTTGTCAAATCATTTCTAACTAAATTGTACTCGTTGGCTATTGGTTCAAGAACCAGTATTGTGTATACAAGATAAAATTTATAAGAGCAAATATTTCATGCTGGCAAAAATGGAAGAGAAAGGAAAAATAATATAAGGAAGAAAGAGCACTCACAAGGGGATGATCCCGCCAAAACTCGGGTAACGACTTCCTCTGCATAATTGTCAAAAATAAGCCGTGTATGTAAGGAACAAAACAATAGGTCCACAGCAAACTTACTTTAAATGTGAACCTTCAGAGAATATTCGTAAAAAAGAATGAGAGAGAAAATTTGATTAAATAGCTAAACGAATGTGCATGATGGACCAGAACCCTATGCATTAATAAAAAAATAAATGATTAATAGCATAGCTCATAATGATTTGGAAACTGTTCTCCCATTCATGAAAGCATTTCAGAGGCGAGGATCAGGGAGTTCAGACCACACAAAGGGTAAGGTAATCAATGATATTTTTTACTGATATTATCTCTACCCAGCGAAAATGTGTAGCACAGTAAGAAACTACCGTTATACACAGCTCACTACAAAATTGTTCTCTCCTTGCACTAAAAAATATTGCACAACATGGTTACAAGATGACTTGCCATGCAATGCAATTGAAACATAGGAAAAGTGGTATCATCTTTCACCACAATCTGTGCATGCTTTCTGGTCAGAACAACCCACTGCAAGAACACAATGCAAAAGACACAGTAAGACGACCAGAATCCGCAATAACATTGCATAATAGATAACTTCTCTCTCTCAATTATTAATATTTGAATTATAAACATTCAAACATTAAGGGGATCTTTCTCCTATAGAACTTTAGCAAGCAAACCAACCAACAAATATATTGAACTGTTACCTGAGATCCTTTCCTCCAGTTATAAACAGGAATTACAGGATGCATTTTTGGATTGTAGCGGCCTTCTTTTGTATCAGCAAAGCTGCATTCATCATTAAATTCACAACAGAATTTCACAAACCAATCTGAACTCAAATCCAAACTATGACAAATTTTTCTTGTTACAAATTGTCACAAAGCATCAGCAATATAGAATGTCAAGAATTTTGATTCGAAAGGAGTTATGCAAAGCAAACTTGTATGCAGCTTGGAATCATATATCAGTTAGTTACTTATTTACTTCAGCTTTCAAAATATTCATGCTAAATAGGAAATAAACAAATGCAATAGCCCATCACCTGTCCACGAAACTAGTTGTCGTAGACATTATATAGTCATACGTGTAGCTGAAGTTGTATAAAGGTATGCAGCTGAAATGATCAACTGAAATAATGTTAGATAATAAGATGAAACAAATAATAACCTCCTGCTGACAACTGAACATGAGCAAACAATAACAACCTCAGTACTACTCATTTAGATTTTATTACAGAAAAAAGAAAATATGGAAGATGACAAATGCCCAAAAAGCCATTAGTGAGATCAAACCTCACCTATCTGAAAGGAAAAGAAATCGTTCATTGAAAGGATCCATGAGTGCATGTTGAAGCAATATACGCTCTGCCTGGAGCATGCTTGATCCTCCCCAATCTACCTGGAAAATAAGCAAAATTGCTATATATTTCATTAAGCCAAAACAAAAAGAGAACTGGAAAAACAAATTTGCAAGGTTTTCATACTCAAGAAGGAACTTTAAATTACATAGTCAAGTTTCATGCAAGCCAAAGCTCCAATGTAAAAGTAAAACTACTTGGAAAGATGAAAGATCTAATTGAAACAAGCTAACCATAGACTCTGTTACATCCAAACAGGGAACTTGCTGAAGCTGAGCCCAATTTTAATAGATTTTATGTATGGGAGCTGATGAAAAAAATGAAGTGGCCGCATGGGACATCCTTTTCAAAAAACTCTCCAGGCAACCAGTTTCCGAAATCTGCCGGGTTGTATGGTATGAAAAGTCAAAATGCTGAGCGCATGTTGGAGGAGGGCTACCCTATTGAGTATCACCTCCGGATGGCTGGAGTGTCTGCTATGACAGATCAAAAATTTTGGGCACAGGTTGGGGGACGGCTCCCCCACTTTGTGTAGAACAGGGGAAAGAAAAAAAGTCCACTTAGGCCAAAAGCCTTTTTACGTCACTAGATGCACAGGTCTGACTAGCATGGATTTTCAGTAATATATCCCATTTTAAACTTTTTAAGATCAGGATGGGTCTTCAACCAGTCTGTCATCAGGAAGATTTCTAACTAGCAAATTCTTCAGCAGTATGTCAAGAGGCAAGTGCATTCTAGTTCTTGAAACCAACAAAGAGCCAAATTGAACTATTTCACATGCCTTCAAAGTTAGGATTGAATTGTCATGCTAGTCGAACAGCAGGTGTATCAATATAGAAGGAAACTTTCCTTCATGGAGATAAGAATGGCATATAATGCTCAACACGGATAAATATTAAAACCAGGACAATATAGAATGTAACCACTGTGATCTTGAATAAGTACAAAAAAAGGTAAAATTACTAATCTACATGGTACTTTGTGTAGTTTGAACACTTCCCTTGTTTCTCAGAAGAGCCATATCTCCACATTACTAATTTAGATGATACAGATTATTCCCCTACAGTGTCTTAACCTCCAAGTTCAAGCAGAAAGTAGCTTCACTTCAATTTGGAAAGACTAAAAGCATTATAGACCCCTTTGGGATGGGTGATAGATAAAGTTTGCAAGTTTCATATTAGTGATTTCCTGTGGAGATGGTATAGTAATTATATGGTTATGTGCCAATAAAGAAGAACAAGGTATATCTGAACTAAAGGGGACTATAAAGGGATATAGACGTATATCATGAGGCAGAATAATTGAGGCATTTGATTGTGTAGACACTAAGAATACCGCAAGCTATGGTTTTGGTCCTAGATTGATCTTGTCTCCCGATGAAGAAATGTTGTCCCATGCTGCTTTCTTAATATGAAGCAGTATTAACATGTTGAAATTTGCAAGAACGAGTTTTTCCTTCTTTTTTGTCCTTAAGAATGCCTTGTGAGACAAGAAGACTTTCGACAAACAAAACAAGCCAAATTTTCAGCAACTGTCAATATTATCAATTAAAGATTCCATGTTCAGAAAATAAACCTGTATGCTATCGTTAACTTGACGGTCCAAGAAATAGGCTGATCTTGTTGTTGCCTTGTTAAAAAGGAAACCAGGCCTAGAGTGAACGGAAATGGAAAATTTATTCTCTTTATCCCCCTTCAAACAAACAAGAAACACGTCGTAAATCTAAATGCAAACATGTTAAACAATATACATATGGTTTCCACTAAAAACCATAAAACTAATTGTACCGTGTCCCAGGATACATGAAACATAATAACAGTTGTTACATACACATACACATACTATGGAAAATCATCATCCCATCCACCGTATAGAAGAGTAATCATCAGCTCAGCCCAACAAGTTGGTATGATATAAAACAAGATAAGATGTCAAAGCCAATAGACTCAAGACGCTAGCAAAACTCGATAAGCTGACTGGATAAAGTAACAACAATTTCTGCTCCATTCAACACAATAAAGTAGCCAATTTTAAGCTTCTTCAAGAACCACTTCTAATCCAAATCACTACCTGAAAAAAAGAAATAATATCTAGTTCTTACTAAACGACAACCTAGAGGGTTCCACCCTACCATTGATCACGGTATGGGGCAAGACTCACTGTTTATCTCATCAAATACCTAATTTAGTATTATTAGACTATAGGATGCTGCACATTGCTTTCATAGAAGAGAATCAATGAGATGTCACCCATTAATGGGGTGAGCCTTTTCATGGGAATTCATACATGCTACCTACAGGAGAGAAAAACTTCACTAATGTTTAAGCTAGGACTTGTTGATCTAATCACATATGCAAGTAAACATTTACCAAGTTCTTTACATAGAAATTCTGAAAAAGGAAAGAAATTTCTTTTCTTAACAACTTGGAACATTGAATATGTTTAGCAAATGTGGGGGCCTGCCAAAAAACCATCTAAGCCAAGAGAGGTGTGGACCATTACACAAAATTTCACTGATTAGCCATTGCCACATCGTTAACTACACTTCTTTATTACAGTGTAATTAATTAGTTTGAACTTATAAGCACAAACTGACCAAAGTCAATTTTTGTCAAATTAATTTAATGTTTTCAAATGATCATGAACTATCCACTGGTTCAATCTGAAAAACCAAAAACGCACTTTTGCAGATAAAATTTGTCAACACAAACAGACCTTAATGAATTGCCAATTATCAGGCAGCTAGCAGAAAACGCACACATGCTTATATCCAGCATATAACACAATCCACTCTTTACTTTACATACAAATTTCTATAAGGCAAGTAATCTAGTCTGACGTGCTATAAGTCTGAATCGATATAAATAATCAAACAGTTTCAGAGAAACAATGAAACAGTAAAATATACCTTGCAAAAACAAAGGAAAGAAAACTGTCAGAGGCATTTGTAGTTGATCAAGTCCTAAAGAAGCATTTGATTTGAAATTACCTGAAAGAATGCATCCCAAACTATGTCTAGTGGAAGCCGATTTCTAGCTATAAACAGAAACGCAATTTTAGGCTTTTGAACAATTGGAGGAGACAATAAAGCGAGCGTTTTGATTCGACTGTACTGGGTCTCTAGTAGTACTACAGTCGCGAAGCAAAATCCAAAAAGAAGAGCAGCAAAAACCTTCGTCTTCCATATGTAGTGAGATTTCTGTTGGCTTACCTTTCGCTTCATCTAATTTCACTTTCAATTTAAATATTCAAGCATTTCGAGCTATCACAGATTAGATTATCACCAATTCCTAATTATAATTAACAATTACTCAAAAATCCTCAATTCTTCAAGCCTGAAGATATCTGGTTTCACCTCCTGGTCAACGACAATGAGCCGATGAATATGAGATTCTCTATCACTACATTTTCTGTCTACTCTTTCTCACTCTAGTTTCTCTCTCTAATCCCCGTTTCTATCTATCTAGTTTGTCACTTCACCTTCCTTCTGACATTGAGCGGATCACTATACGACTCTCTCTTTCTCTCTCTGTGCTCTCTCTCTCTCTAGACTCTCTACCTTCAAGTTAGGTTGATAGTCAATTTCAGATGAAGAACCAACCAGATCCACAGAATGTGTAGAATTGAACTTCAATTTCGTGAAGATTTCACGAAATTGAGCAGAGATTGCATCAATTACGGGATGGAGATGATGGTGAAAGAGCGAGAGACCTGTGATTGTATGAGATTTTATGAGAAGTCTTCAAGACTCTCGTGGACCATCGCTCTACAGAGACCGTGAGTGAAGATGAGACTAATAAGGAAGAAAGAGAGAGACCGGTCACTTGGCTTGTCTTGAGAAATGAGGCTCCTCTAGTGAGTGAATCAGTCGTGTCCTGTAAGCAGCCCTTTGGACCCTTTGGTTGCGTACGATGTAGGGGATCAGCGCTTTTTTTTTTTTTTTTTCGGTTTTTCTCAATCATTATTATGCATAATAATAATAGTATTAATAATATTCGTATTAGTATTATTTACTCTGACTCCATATTCTTTATATTTTAATTTTTTATCTTAATTTTTTTTATTTGACACATCAATGTGACACCCGCTGGATTAATTTCGAAAATCGGTAACAATATGCAACAGCAAAATTTTTTAATTTCCATTACCGTTTTATGTGTACTGAAAAATTATTAAAAAAAATTATAATAATAATAAGAACTCGTGGCCTTCAGTGCATAATAGTTATATTAGTATTAGTGTTATTTACCAGGACTTCATATTTAAAATAAAATAAAATTTGTTTCTTTATATTTTGATCGTTTATCCTAAATTATTTTATTTGACACTATTCAACACCGATAGTTTTTTTGTTTAGTGTGGTAATAATCTATATAAATGATAACAACGTATGAATCATATGTTTTTCTATTTTAGTTTTTCATTATATGTGTGTTGTCAATTTTATATAAAAAAAGTACAAATAATAACAAGAAGTCTTGAACTCGTGGCCTTTAGAGCTTGGATGCGAAAGCACATTCAAAAAAATAAAAAAATAAATTGCTTTAGCATGTTTTTGGAGTGCTTTTAAATTAAAGCATCAATAAGTGTTGTGGACGAGGATTAGAAGTGTGAGAGGAATAGAACAACCAACAACCCCTGAAATAAATTGCTTGCTGTGATGATTGCCTTGTTGGGATAAAGAAATAATTCTAGGCATGGGAATAATTTAGAAAACAACTCAAGGCACCAACCAAGTACGACAGGACTAGGGAAGTTGCCATGATTGATCGAGCGCCCGTTGAAGGGTTAACGTCAATTTATGGTTTGGTACCCATTTATATATATATATATATATACACACACGCACACACACACACACACGCACGTCAAAGCGTTGTAGTAAAATAAAAGAACAAAAATTACAAATTAGTCCTATTTTTTAATTGCAATGATCAAATAAGTTGTGCTCCGTATAAATATTTGGTAAATGGTAGGACAACGAAATCCTATTTTTTATATACATGTTTCCAACTAAGTTCAAAACTCCAGTAATAATAAAGTAAATTTAAATTTGTCCTTTATTATTGAATTATCTTTTAGTACTTGTATTTTTCTCTTATTTAAATATTAATTATACCCTTTATCTTAATTTTATAACTGGTATCAATTTATCATAACAATGATAAAATAAAATAAAAAAAGAGAGGAAAGAAGCACATAGTTGTAACTACCATCAAGTGTGGCAATATTATAAAATGATTAAATTATTATTTAAAATTAAAGCTTATTATACCCACCTTAAAAAATATATATAAATTAAATATCATTTTTTTTCATGCAGTATATACATGAAAAATTAAGATGTAGTTTGATTTTAGGGGTATGATTACTGTCATCCTAACTGATCATTGATTTCTTTCTAGCTATAAGAAATTACTATATATATATATATATATATAATTTGCTCTTTTTATTTTTATTTTTTCAGAGTCAATTCATTTTTATTTTATTTTTTCTTTTTGAATTAGCAAAACCAACCATAGACTCATAGTCAAATAACCAAATTGAAGATTTTGTTATTTACCGGAGAAAAAAATGACGTTGTTGAGAGTTTTTCCTTTTCTTTTATTTATTTATTATTATTATTGGGTACGTAAGATACATGTACACACACAATTCCATTGCTAAAGAATATTAGATGCAATAACAAACCATTGCTGTAGAAGTTACTGAATTAAGACTAGTTCAGTGCTAATATGAAAATGTAACTTCATTTAGTTTATCAAGGGTACATGAATTTCTCAATTGAAAAGGCCATGTTCTAAACACAAGGATATCTACATTCTTCTTCTTCTTCTTCTATCCTATATACAATATATCTATATATACATCTTTATAGTGACCTCTAATAGGCTTTTTTTTTTTTTTTTTTTTTTTTTTTTTTTTTTTTTTTTTTTTTTTTTGTAGAAATGTTATGACCAAATAAAAGACGCAGTCTTTCATTTCATTATTCGAAAATATATTCTCCAATCCACTTAATTCCCCAAGATTTTCTTCGGATGGTGTTTATTGCACACTTTTTTTAATAAGGAGTAAAAATGTTACAAAAAATATACTTCACGCGGTTTCTGCACTTCCCCCCATAGAATATTAGATGCAATAACAAACCATTGCTGTAGAAGTAACTGAATTAAGACTAGTTCAGTGCTAATATGAAAATGTAACTTCATTTAGATTATCAAGGGTACATGAATTTCTCAATTGAAAAGGCCATGTTCTAAACACAAGGATATCTGCGTTCTTCTTCTATCCTATATACAATATATATATATATATATATATATATATAGGGTGAAGTGCAGAAAACACCCCTATACTATGCTTACAGTGCATATCACACCCCTCACGTGCACAAAACACCCTCAAAGTATTGATTTGGTGCAAATAAGTCCCTCAAACACATTTAAGTTAGAGTTTGTCTAAATTGCCCTTCATGAGACATTTTATAAATTAATTAAAAATACATTATTGTGTAAAATGACAAAAAAGGACACAAAATGAAAGACCATGTGACAGCAGCCTTATTGTGGATCTCCTTCTCTCTTTCTAACCGACAATGAGGGAAGCTCCGATGATAACTAGAGAATACTCCGGTAACAGTGATGAGACAGCGAAGAACGGGACAACAACGCTGAAGATGGCACTGATCTGAATATGGACGCTGCATAGGTCGAGGAAAGCTTGATTATCTTATCAAAGCCTGGTGTTTGAAGAGTTTGTTATACGTTGACAATGGCAGGGACTAAAACTGGAGTGAAGAATGGATCTTTGAGGAAGATTTTGTTCCCCACGACAATATATTGGACTTGATCAGCGACTACGTGGGAAAAATGTTAGATTAAAGCCATTGCAGCGAGGTGCTCACATTGCCGCCGGCAAGGTCATAGAGGACTTCGTTGGGGACTCCGATCATGAGCAAGATTCTGGTGCCAGAAAATGCAACCAGTGTTTCGGTGTTGGCGTTAAATAGTTGAATTCTTGAGATTCCGTTGGATTCAAGGAGGTTGCAGGCGATGGATGGTGGCCTTGGCATATTCCAATTGGTGCAGAATTTGCAAAAGCAGGGGAATGGGTAAAAGAGAGATTTAGATAGAGAAGGGAGTGTTGAATTCCTATTCTTAATAGCATTAGTTTTGGTAGAAGATGCACTAATTGATTTCTTTTATGAAGATAAAGAGGAGGCCAATGACATGATCCATAATAAAGAAAAATGAAGCTATAGAGAGACCTGTGTGGGTTTTAGAAGAGAGAAAGACCACTTGTTTATTTGAGTCAAGTTTAATACAGAATTAATTCAAATTGTCAAGACAAAATAAATAAATAAATAAATTGTAAGTTAAATGTTAATTTAATATTAAGTGTGTTAATTAAATGTTATATTGAAGGTGTTTTGACAACATTTTCGTATTTAAGTGTAGGATTTTTCAGTGTCGAACTAAAAAAAAATTAATGGTATTGAATTGAAAAAATTTATAAGGTAAGTGCATAAAACACCCTTATACTAGATATTCTTAAGGTAGTGTGCACATAATACGCCTATAGTATGAGATTAGTAACATACATATCCCCTTGGGCATTTTCAGAAAAGTAAAAAGGCAAAACAGGTATTACAGTACCAATTTATGTCAGATTTCTGACCGAGGGGTATTTTTGCATAATGTCAAAAGATTAGGGATGTTTATTGCACACTTTTTTAAATAGGGGGTAAAAGTGTTATGAAAAGTATATTTCGGGTGTTTTCTGCACTTCCCCCATATATATATATATATATATATCTATAGTGACCTCTAATAGGTTTTTTTTTTGTAGAAATGTTATGACCAAATAAAAGATGCAGTCTTTCATTTCATTATTCGAAAATATATTCTCCAATCCACTTAATTCCCCAAGATTTCCTTCACCCAATTCCAAATTCTTGAGAACCTCTCCCTCTTTAATTTCATACTTGCACTTGCTCGCGCCTCAGCTTGAGCTGGCGTTTCTTGTTCAACAGTCGTTTGTGCTGCAGAAACCGACACCATTTACAGAAACAGATTATATATATAACTCAGCATTCAGCAAAGAAAAAGTAGTTCCACATATTTTAGTGTAGTGAGTAGCTATGAAATCGACTTTTAAATTTTAATTTTAATTAAGAGACATCACCATATCTTTGATCGTGTTCAGCCTGCTCTTTAAGCTGCTTGTTGAACGCCTCGGCTGCCATGAAAACATTTGCAGGCCTTTCCCAACCTTGCCCAAATACGCCATAACCTTCTTTTGGTTGAGGTTTTGTCAAAAACTCGAGCACTGCCACTTCTTCACTGTCCACCCAATGGATGCAATTCACAGGGCATGACTCAACCGAAACCTGCAAATTTACAAGCCAATGCCATTCATATGAACTGAATCACATCATGACTTGATGACAGTAAAATTCTTTTAGTAGATTTAACAAAAGTCAAATGTATGATATCATTTTATATACGCCTCCTACTATATATATATAGTCTGTTTGATGAGCATTAATTTTACCTCTATTTTTCTGTCGTCATCTCCATATTGCACTTTGACACGAGCACATCCATGTGCTTCATCCATCGTAAATGTGTTACTCGCTTGGTGCACACATTGTCTGCACCCTGTACTCCATTGGAGGAACCAAGAAATGCAATGTTAGGTCATGATCGAGAGAATTGGAGATTTTTTAGAAAAATCTTGCAAATTGATTCTATATAGAGCTCTCTCATCATGAAATAATTAAGATCAACAAATAAATTTTAAGTGTGCAAGTGGTTGATAAAATCCAATTTGTTAAATTTAAATATAAGTCCCAAGTTGAGGAGTGAAGTATCAAATTGACCTATGCAAGCATTTTCATCAACAAATAGAGCTTGGGGTCTTAAGGGGCCATTCCATGAACTGTAACCCGCACCAGATAAATGTGTTCCAAACCCGACTCTCAGTATCACATGAATAGAAGCATCATACTCTTTTCTGAGATCGTCACTCATTAGCACTTTGTAGGCCTTATTCAGCATCAAAGTGTACTCATGACCCTGAAACGAAGATGGTAAACCGTTCAAGTTTTAGTGTTACTTGAAGGGTGAGGGACTTGAATGCATAAAAAAAAAAAATTAGATAGTGGAATGCTATAATTTGTGCATTATTTTTCCTGTTCAAAAATTGCTAATTTAAGGAAGATGCAATGACAATTATTAAAGTGATCTCACAGTAAAAATAAACAAAAAAATCATTTCAAAAAATCATAAAATAAAATTATACAGTCAAATGATTGTTTAATTTGGTCAAATGAAATCAAAAGAAAGATAATATATATAAAAGTTTGACTGATTTGTGTGATGTATTGTAATTGAATTTTGATATGAATTTTTGGCTGTATAATGCTCATACAATCATCTTTTAACGGTTTTCAACCTCTTATTACTCTTGTACATGATGATTGTCAACCTCATGGTAACATAAGTAGATATAAGAGTGTGTTTCAATCTTTCTGACAAAATGGGTTTTGTCATGATCGTCGAGCTTGATTAATTTTGAACAGATAGAAGTTGAGATCCAGATTACTTAAATTAATGAGCCATCTTGATCAAATACAGTGAGCACATAGAGAACAAGTTTAAAGCATGAAAATTAAAAAAAATATATATATATATATAAGTAGAAGCAGATAGAACGAGACACCTTTTGGCCTGCAATATCTGGGTGATATTTCTTCTGCAACTTCCTATAAGCTTCTTTGATTTCTCGGGCAGTTGAATCAACAGAAACTCCAAGCAACTCATAGTAATTCTTCTCTGTTCTTACACTTTCTAGAGTCCTCTTACAACATCTGAATACTGTAGATTTCTGCCTCCAACTTAAAAAACACAAACAACTCATCTATATTATGTTCGGTTGTTTTTTAATTGAATTAGTACCTTAAAATTAGAATGGGAAAAAGTTTTACATGGAATTGATGGCTTGGATTTGGAATCGGAGAAAGTTTTCTCCTTCTACGATTCCAATTTTAAGAAATTAATTCCATGTAACTAAAAACAGTGATAGAGATTTTGTTAATCGCTTTGTTATGGATATCAGTAACAAAAATTCTGATAAAAAATTCAAGCTTTGGACGAAACTACCTTGAATTGGGCTTGTTTAAATGGCGATGGCGCTGTTGGAGACGATTTGGCAAAGAAATTTGTTGTATTGAGACTAGAGAGCCTGACATGTTTCTTACTGGCTTTCTTGAACAACTCTGCTAAGTCAAGAGTGAGCGTTCTGTTTGGATGAAGACTCAAGTTTTGGATATTTTTCATCTGGTGGCTTCAATCCTTAATATCTTCACTTGGTATATTATGATAGGGGTTCACTATTGCCAAAGCATTGTTGCTTATTGCCAGAATGATTTTAAGCACTTTGTACGCTGTTTGAAGTTGCACTTGATTTGGCCATAGCCATTTTTGTTCTGATAATAGTAATAGTTAAAACTGTATGCTATTTGATATTTTTCCCATGGGTTTGGATTCTATACAGTGAATCCACCGAATTCTCTGAACAGGTGACGCACGACAACTTTCCTTACATGCCAGCGTGGCAATAATTTTTTTAATCGTCTCTTTGAGGAGAAGTGAATCTTTACGATTTCATTTTTTTTTTTTTTTTTAATTTGATTTGGTAATAAAAAAAAGCTTATTTATTTATTATTGATTCATATTAAGTTAAAATGCTGTATATATTTTCATTGATGAGGACTTAGTACTGTCCTCATCGGTCTATCAAAATTCGCATTTATTATAAGCTTATTTAAGCATTTGGTGCGTAGAAAATGGAATAGAATGTTCATTTTAATTATTATTTTCTTTAATATGTAATTTAAAATGGGAATGATCATTCTATTGGAATGAAAATGTATTTATAATAATGAAAATCCTATGGAATGACTATCCTATAACTAAACTTATGGAATGACTATACCATTTCCTAAATAATTTTTTTTTTAAAAAAAAAACTTTCCAAAAAACACTCATGTTACAAGTCTAAAAATCACAACTACCTTCCACTACAATCACTTCTGCCTTTCATCACCACCTGTTTTGCCGGCGATGGGTACTATAAAGGCGAGCCGAAGCGATAGCATTGCCTTCGGCGTCGATCAAAATGCCATCGGCGTACACACAATTCAAACAAATAATTCACTCACATCATCAAAACAAAACGCCATATCAATTTACCAACTAAAATCACAAAACATATAAATCATATAGAAGACGCAACGAGGGCGTCGCGAGCTTAGGTGGGGGAGAATGTCACGTCCCGCAACTAAGAGGCTACGCCACGCAGACGCCCAGCAGACGATAATATGGAGCCTGCATGGACCGGAGCTTTCTAGACGTCTCTACACAAGTATGGAACTTTCCGGAATTCTCTAGACTAGTGTGGAGTTGTCTAGCATTTTCTGGACTTGTCTAGAGCCTCCATCCACCACCATCACTGCCACCGACTTTCACCACCGCCTACTACTTTCCACCATTATCGCCACCGTCGCCTTTCACCACTAACACCATCTTCCTTTACCGCAGCCGCCACCACCACTGCCACTAACTTTCACCACCGCCCACTACTTTCCACCGTCACCACCACCATCACCTTTCACCACTGACACTGTATTCCTTTACCGCTGCCGCCGCCACCGTCTCCGCCATCGCCTTTCACCACCGCCGCCGCCGCCATTCACTATTGCCACCATCTTCCACCACTGCCTTCCACCACCACTGTCATCGCTTTTCACCACCGCTATCGCCAGCGCCTTCCACCACCACCATCGTTACCGCTTTTCACCGCCACCACCTTTTATCACACCGCCACCGCCATCACTTTCCACCACTACCGCCATCATTACCTTCCACCACCACCACCACAACCTTCCGCCACTACCACCACAACTGCCTTCCACCACCGCCACAGCCTTCCACTACTACCACCACCGCAACAGTCGCCTCCATTGGCTTCCATCACCTACACCACTATCTTCTTCCACCACCATCACCACACTACTGCCATCGCCTTCCACCAACACCACTGCTGTCTTCCCACTACTACCGCCGCCTTCCAACACCACCACCTACACTACTACCGTTTCCCATCTCCACCACCATCTATTACGCCACTGCCACCATTTATTTTTTTAAAAAATTATATAAAAATGTCATTTTGTTAATTTAATTTATTTGTTACTAAGAGAGAAATTTTGGAGAACTCAATTTGAAATTTATTCCATTATAAATTTTAAATTGGTCTAACTAAACAATAGAATGCTTATTATCAATTCATTCCTACACATTTTATATTTATAACCAAATAGTAGAATGTTTACTTCCATTCCATTCCCATTTTCATTTCATTGCTACTTGCATTACATTCCATTCCACTTGAATAATTTTGTTCCGTAATTTTAAACATTGGACATAATTTATTTTTTATTTTAAATTTTTTTTTCAATTCACTGTTTTGCACACAAGTTTCTCGGATCATTTCCTAGCAAACTACCAAAAGAAAAATGATATTTTTGACGACTTTAATACTCCGACTTAAAACTGACTAGGTAAAAATATGACGGCATTATTACTGCTCCTGTTTGTTTCCATAAAATACACCAATTTTACTTTCTTTATATACTTAGTTTTTCATAACTCATTTCCTTATCTTTTCAGTTTTATGTATCATTTATCTAATTATATATAGGAGATGCAATCTTAACTTCTTAAGTATCTATGCGTTAGAGATCGAGATGCAATGTAATATATATATAAAACACATATACAATATTATACATGATGATTGAAATTTTAATAGCAAAAAAAAAAAATACTATATTAAGATGAAACTTAAAAAATAGACTATAACTTTCTAAATACTACCTCCGTTCAATAATAGAAGTCCGTATTTAGAAATTTGATTTTTTAAGGGAATATGCAATTAATGCATTGTCCCTTCTTAAAATCGCCAAATTATCCTTTTTAATTTAAATATATATAGTTATAAAGTTTGAAATTTTTTAAAAAGAAAAGGGACAATGATTGAAATATAAAGGAAATATGCTTGGACTTTTCAAAGAGTACAATTAATTTAGGACATGTAAAAAGAAAAAAATAGACTACTAATATAGAACAAAAAGAGTAATTAATTACCTTATATTTTATAATGAATTCATTATATTTGATACATAAAATAATAAGAGTATATACAGCAGTATGTTAAAAAAATTTGTGTAATCTGATGTGTCAAAGTAGACTTACACAAAAATTTTGACAAAAATAATAATTTAAATAAATAAATTTATAATAAATCATTTTGTCTAAAAACACACGAAGGCCTTCGAATTTACTTTATGATCAACCATAATCAATAAAAAATAAATACAAGTAGGAATGATGCAAATATTAAAAATATAACCCTCTAACTATTAATTACATAACTACCCAAAGTGTCGATTTACGGATCCCGAAGAATCCGCCGAACAAATCAAAGTAATTATTAATTAATACAAGAGTCTATACTTTTCTCATGCTTAAGAGTCAAATGCTATGACGGTGATAGGGAGCAATTGCATATGACGGCTCTCGCAATATATCTCAACCTAACGCGGATCCGGTTCAAGTCTTAATTAATTATGAGTCCATCCATAATTACCGACTATGAACCATTTATGATTATTATTTCTATTCATGTATTGATCGCTATTGATGCGACCCGAGCGTGTGTACAAAATAATGCACAACACTTTAGGTTTAGAAATAATGTCAAGCGGGCATCATATTTTAAAATTTATAAAACCACTAAACACTTGTACTATGTAGTATGAAGCGAGTAGGGATCGAACCCAAGAGATTGAACACGTGTTGGGATTAAACTTGATTTTAGTGCTAATGAGATTGCACAAGAGAGAGAGAGATAGAGAGGGAGAAAAAGATTTTTGGTGAAGTGATTAAACTAGAAATCGAAAGCATGAAATAGAAATGACAATGCAAGTAAATTAAATTAAATTAAACTAAGAATTAAAGAGATATGAAGAGAGTCTTAGGGTTAGGATTCACCACTAAGTTCTTGCAATTAACCATATGCTTTCAATTAATGGGGAATTCATTAGTGTAATTATAGATGTAGCCACATTATCATCACAAATCACAATTGTAAGCATAGATTATCAACATCAAGAATGAGTTGTCTACTTAATGACAATTAAACTAAAGTGTGGAACCCATTCAAGACTGTGTCATAACCCACCATACACATTCACAAATGTATCAAATAAGAGCACACATCAATCAAGAGAATAATACTAATTGTAATTAGAAGCATGGATTAACATAATCAAGCACAAATTGCCTACTTAACTACAATTAACTAATAACAAGAAAGCTAATTTGTAGAACAACCCATCAAGATTAAGCATTTATCTATCAAATTAATTGACAATTGTATCAAATAAGTATCATATTATGGCCATCACTAAACACAACTACAAGAAGTATTTAATGTAGAATATAATCCTAAAGCAATCACACATAGACATGCAAATTACATATAGAATTAATGAAAGAATTAAGTTCTAATCATCTAATGAAGAATAAAATCCCTAATTAATCATACATAGACATACAATCAATTGGAGATTTCAATGGAAGAATTCATCAATACAAACCCTAATTTATCAAATCAAGCATGTATATATGAAGAAATCACAAGGCCATATAATTTAATTACAACATAATAATTCCCCAAGAAAATAAATACAAAGATTAAGGTTACATGAACTTAGGGCTCATCCAAGCCCTAAGTGAAGAACTAGCTTATGGAGAAAATGATCATGGTGTCAACAAGTTCCATCTCCATCTTTTGGCTCCTTCTTCTTCTTCCTTCAATTGTAGACAAAGCCTCTGTAAAAATGTTCTTCAAACCCTAGCTTTTCCTTTTTCCCAGAGAGAACGTAATATCACCGTACAGAAAAAAAATAATAAAACTTAATAATTCTAATAATATTCCCTAAATAAAATAAATACTAACCCTAATCTAATGGCTCACTGGGCCTTAAGTAACAACCCTATTAAAGCCTAATAGTTCACAAAATAAGCCCAAACAATAAAAAAAAATCTGTAATGTTGCCAAGTCCTGGGGGATCGATCCCCCCAGAGTTGGAAATTTCCTTTAATCCCTATTTAGCTCTATTTTTGCCCCGAGCTCATTAGTTTGCTTCTTCATCTTTGGGAACATCATCAAAGGCCTGAGATTGACCGCTTTTGAAGAATAAACACACTATACGAGCAATGGGCTGCGA